TCGAACCTCAAGTCAGGATGGACGGGGCATGCAGGAGATGTTTCCGCAGCTTTTCTCTGCGGAGAGACACTGGAGAGAGAGCTGTTTCTCCGACAGCCCAAGAACGGACTCGGAACGCTCCATCCAGAGCAGCTGCTGAAGATTAAAAAGCCCATTTTTGGCTTAGTCGATTCTCCGGCTGCCTGGTGGAAGAAGTTCAGCAAGACCCTCAAGGGGACGAAGCTACGCGGGGCGAACGGAGAGGTGTGGTGCATCCGACAGTGCTGTCTTGATCACTGCATCTTCATGATCCAGAAGGAGACCGTCGACGAGAAGACCGGCGAGGTTTCCTACGAGGCGCCCGTCGGCTACCTGGGCGTCCATGTGGACGACGTCCTGTTGATAGGACAGGACGAGGTGTGTGTCCTTATGAAGGAAAAGTTGAGCGAGCTCTTCCCCATCCGTGAATGGGAAACCGGGAGCTTTGAGTACGTGGGGTCCTACATCCAGATTACCCCTGAAGGAGTCCGCCTGTCTCAGGCGAGCTACGCGGCTACAAGGCTCTTTGAGGTTGAGATCGTGAAAGGCCAGTGCGACCTCGACGAGGCGACCGAGGAGCAACGACATGACAATATGTCGTTGATTGGTGCTTTGAGCTGGTTGGCCTGTCAAAGTCGTCCTGACTTGCAGGTTGGTGTCAGCTTGTGTCAGCAGAGGCAGAAGCAGCCTTTGGTGGAGGACCTCAAGTTCACCAACACCCTGGCGCACCGAGCACTAGAGCTCCAGGAGCAGGGCCTGATGTTCTACCCCATCGACTTGAACGACGCGGTGCTTCTGTGCTACCACAACGCGGCCTGGGCCAACGTTCCTCAAAACCAGGACGACCCGTACTACAGCTTGACGACCGAAGAGGACGCACGAGGACTCATGGACCCTGGTCTCCGGGCGAAGAGCGCGAAGGCCAAAAAGGCGAACTCGTCGATCGCCTCCCAGCTTGGAGCCCTCTACGTACTGTGCGATTCCGCCGTCTTGAAGGGGCAGCGGAAGTATGGGAGCATCTTGGATTGGAAGAGTGGAGCTTGTGACCGAGTCTGTCGATCGACCTTTGCGGCAGAGACTATGGCCTGTGCCACTTCGATCGAAACAGGCGACTACATCTCGAAGTTCCTCGAGAGCCTACTGCAAGGTGACCTGATTCGGCAAGCTTCACGCCTACAACTGAGGTTCCTAAGTGACTGCCGTAGCTTGTTTGACCACCTTACGAAGGAAGTGATTCCGAGAGTCCCGACCTGCAAAAGACTGGCCTTGGATCTGGCTTCGATCCGCAATGATTTGCGGGCACTTGGGAGGATCCAATGGATCCCCAATGACGCTCAATTCTCAGATCACCTCACCAAGCCACTCAAGGCTAACGAGTGGTGGGAGAGCCTCAAGAGAGGCATCAAACTTACTTTTTCAGAAGACAAGGGAGATCACAGGGAAGCAGTGTAAAGCTGTGAAGTTCTGTTTCCCTCTCCCGAGCCTTCCTTTGAACGTTTCCGCTGCAGGCGCACGAGTTTGTTCAAAGCGTGGCCAAAAGAAGGTCGCCTCGGGGGGAGGGTCTGGGCTCTTAGTTAGTTTAGACTAAACCCCTCAACCCGTACGAAGGCGCCCGGTTGTGGGCCAGGCTCCTGGAGATTGTCCGTGGCCGTCAGCCAGCGGCAACCCATAACGCCTGCACCCGAAATGCTGAACCAGGGCTCATGGTGTAGGGTTTGCAGTCCAGGATTTAAGGGTTTAGGGAGGGCTCAGGGGATTTAGGGTGCAGGGGCTTAGGGTTTAGGAGTTCGCGTACAGGAGTTACAGGGTTTAAAGTTTAAGGTCTTTTTTGAGGCATAAGCTGGTTTTGGGGTCCAGGCTTGAAAAAAATCGGGGTTTAATTTCAATCGGCGTTGGAAGGACACCCATAACATCCCACATCTGGTTCAGGTGTTCGGGTTTGGCGGCTTCAGGAATTGGAGAAGTTTCGAATCATAAAACCCGACATCCGAAAACATAAAGATGGATGCTGCCCATCTCAAACTCGAGGTTCTCATGATACGGGATTAACTGCGATGGGGGTTGGGCTTCAGGTTAAGGCGGTTGGTTAAGGCGGGAAGGGCTGCTTCGGATGCCAAGTCAGAATCAATATCAAGGGCCCAGCAGCAGGACGTTCGCTTCAACATGTTCAGCCCGATTCCCTGTGAACCGAAGAGCGGAACTTGACATACTTAAGCGAACACCCAAACTGAAATGGCCATAAATGCTCTAAGTTCCATAAACATTCAATGCAGCTTGCCTCCCAATTGCATGCATCCACAATCCTGACTGAGGATATCTAGTCGAGCGGCAGAGGGCGCAAGCAATGATCATGCGCGGTAGCACGCACACGGCCTTAAAGGCCAACGAGATTGCTGCAAGCAAAGTGAAGTCGTTGGGGTGTTGCTCCACGTAATTTTAGCTCCCTTTCGAGTTCACGCTTCTCAGCCAACCTGCCCTTCTCTTTCGCAGGCCCGAAACCCAGAACCCGGGCAGTCGAAACGCCCTGAACCCTCGACATCCGAAAACCCTAAACTGCCGAAGCCCTAAACCAAAAACAGTAAACTAAGGGCTCAGAGCATAAGCTGCGACTCAACCCACCTTATGAGCAGATGGTCTGTAGGTAGCCGGACTCAGCAAACTTAAGCAACAAGTTGGAGTTGGAACAGAGACAGTATGCTGAATCCTCAGCCTTACAGCCCCTCAACCGGCGGGCCAAAACCCAAAAACTTTGTTTCACATTTTTGCCCTGAACCCAAGACCTGAAACCCTGAAGCTTAAAAACCCGCTGCCATGAACCCGAAAGCCCTCAACCCTGAACCAAGGGTCCGATATGGCAAACTTCAGCTGCTTTGTCAGCTTCTTGACCTGGCTGCAACGAACGATTCGGACGTGATGCAGTTGAGGGGTCGATTTGGGGGTGAAAGAGTTTGTCCTGCTGAACCTACTGCTACTACGATGGCGACGACTACGCCTCCGATTACGACTTCAACTACGGCGACGACGACGACGACGACGGCTACCACTACTGCTACTGCTACTACTACTACTACTACTACTACTACTGCTACTACTACTACTACTACTACTACTACTACTACTACTACTGCTACTGCTACTACTCCTACTACTACTACTACTACTACTACTACTACTACTACTACTACTACTACTACTACTACTACTACTACTACTACTTCTACCACCACCCACCCTCCTGCTGTTGCTGCTGCCTTAAGTACTCCTGCTGCTACTATCAGCATCCTAGTTGTTGCTTTTTGCTCTCAATGTGGCACCATTGTGGTTTTGTCACTAGCCAGTGTGGTTCGGAGCTCGGGTCAAGGTGCAGCCGTGACCGTGGTGTGACAGTTTCAATATCAACTCCTTATCCGGATTACGTTGTTCAGGTGTGGTTCAAGGCTCAGGGAACATGCACTGCAGAGGAATGCACCGAATTCGCTCAAAAAACTCTTGAAGGGACGCTGATGTGCTGGAGGCGGAGGAGGTCATGCAGTCCGGCCCATGCAAGATTATAAAAAAAAAAAAAACATTAACTAACCAGTGGTTTTGGGGTTCCCTGGGCTCTTTAGCTCCATATTCAATCGGGATTATCATCATCCCTGGCTCCTTAGTCCTCCAATATCAAAGGTTTTGTTTAATGCCCTGATGGAGAATCACCAGGCTGCAACTGGGATTCCGGTCCCCAGAGACTCCAATATCCCTTAATTAAGGAATACACCTTAAATTATAGTAGGATCCCCAATATGATTTAAGGAATATTCCTTAAGTAAGGGATATTGGAGTCTCTGGGTCGAGGTGCGAGGGGCTCATGGGACTCAGGAACCTACACCCGTAAGGAACTCTTAGCCTAAGAGCACTGCGGAGTCCAGGGCTTTGCGGCTAATGTAGGGGCCTTATAACAATTAGAGTAGGGTTTTGGGCCCCTTGTTGCAAAGTTACAATAATGAGCCCTAGGAAATAACAAGTTAGGCTTCTATATTAAGGCTCAATGGTGGGTGTACAGCCCGGGGCAGGATCCCCTACAACCCCAAACCCCCCCCCCCCTCCCCAGAACCCCAAGACCGTGCAACTGAGCGGCCAGGACAGTTCCGGCTTCATAGTCTTGCTCCAACACCTTCACAAGGCTCACACTTCAAAGTCCGGTCTCGAAATCCAAACCCCTGAGACCCTGAAACCCCGAAACTAACGACCAACCCGAAACCCCAGTGTGCCCGACAGTCAGCATGGCCTCTAAACGGTAAGGCTTAGGGTATACGGTTTCGAGATGTACCTCTGAGAACCACACTGTCTACACTCAAAACCAGTCTTCCAATTTAGGGGCCCTTTGGGCACTTTGGAGCCAATAGCGTCAAGACATCATTGCTTTGTTGTGGATGCTGTTGCTGCGGTTGCAGTAATCCAGCCCCTGTAGCTCAGACGCGAAATCGGCGACACTCAAAAGCATGAACCATCGTGAACGAGGATATCTGACTCTTATCGGCAACCCACTGGCTTCCACAGCAGCAGTGCTCACCAGAGTGGTCCTAGAAGCCTTTATACTGCTGTGGAGAGAGCAGCATGGAGGTGTCGAGAGCGGTGCAATTTGGGACCATCGCGGCTTTCTCGGATTGAACGATCTCCAGTTGCTGACACGGCACCACACTGGAACCCAATCATGAAGCCCCTTTTCCTATTTCTTGTGCGGTTCGCAACGGGTTGGTGTTTCGGAGCGCTGATAGCAGGGAGCTTCGTCGCAGCCCGAGAGCTACTCCCTTCTGTCCGGGCACTTGTCTTCACATTGCTTTTTCAAGGCGTCACTAAAGGATCGAAAATTTACCCACAAATTCGGCGAACCCAAAGCCCGGACGCCAAAAACTCCTCAACTCTGAACCTAGCAAGTGCCCGTACAGAACCCTTACAAACCCTACAGATCTGGGGGCCGTCCATCTTCAAATGGGGCAGTCCTCGTCGATGTCGTCGGTCGTCGGCGTGGCGTAGACTGTGCGTCTGAACATCCTGCGGAGGGAGCTTAACCTCCGAATTGCTGTTGGGACTTAAGGGATAGGGTTGGGGTTGTGAGCTTAGGCCCAAACTCTGAACTCTGAACCCAGAGCTCCAACATGCTCCAACCTCGACACGCGAAACTCTGGATCCTGCACTGAAACACCCGAAACGTCTGCTTACAAAAGGGTGATGTAAATCCTAAACCCTAAACCCCTAAACCCTAAACCCCTAAACCCTAAACAGCCTGCACCGAGGCCCCGCGCATCCACGTCCCGTACACCCTCTACCCCGAAACCTACTTGTCGGGTATCATGGGGAATTAAAGCTTAACCCTTTTTGGTTATATAGGGACTATACTACCCAAAAAAGGTTGAAGGTTACGGAAACGTCATGCGCACAGACCAAATCCAAATCTCCTCCTGGCGAGGGTATAGGATGTATGGCACAGGGGTTCAAGAATTTAGATGCAGATCAAGTTGTAAATCAATCTCCGGCAACAACCGCCGCTGGTTCAGCATTTCTCTGCTTTTGCGAAGGATTCTGGGGTAGATGGCTGAAAGGGGCGACGAGGCAGCTATGAAGCGCAGGCTTTGGGTTGCGGAGGCACCTGTATCGGATGAGCCGGATGGCTTTAAGGTTTACTCGCATCCCTAAACCCAGACTCCTAAACCCTAAGCCCGAAACCCGAAACTGCCACACGCCAATCCGTTTATGGCTTCTTCAATTATGGTAGGCTGGTGGGATCATATGGGTGGTTGTCAATATTAGGGTCCCTTGTTGGGTCCTTATTATAATACTGCACCTGATATTTAGGGTACCCAAAAACGGCCCCTAATTTTGACAACCAACCATATAAACTCCAGTATCTCACAACGAAGGCTCTCAAAAGGCTTCGGGGCGTTTAGGGCTTTCATCACGGCAGTCCTGAAACCATCACGTAGGTTCCGGTAGCAGACCAAGGTCCACACCAAGAGAATGGCGGCCAAGAAGCCTCAGCTTCGCGGAAGGTGCACCAACGGTTGATGATATACATCCTGCATTAGTTTAAAGACCCTAAGCTTTGGGAATTATGGTATATTCCTTATTCTGGGTAATGCAGGATTTATATCATCAACAGAAGTACTGTTACATTTATACAGGTATCTGGCTCATAAAACATGCTATACAGCCTGTACAGCACGTTTATGCACTAAAAGCCTGTATAGCATTTTTTGTGAGATTGTATTACAGAATATTTCATCACGTTCCATTATATTCTAATATAACCTATTGTACACCGGCCCCAGATCCGAAACAGCAAACAGCGCATCCCAAATCCGTCGGGAATGACTACACCTTGCCGGTGAGCCGCAACCCGCTGCAACCCTAAACCCCACTCCCTAAACCCCAAGCGCCTAAACCGCCTAAGCCCTAAACACTTAAAACACCTAAAATCTAAAATTCCAACCCCAGACTCCAGACCGACAGCCCACAGCCAAAATGAACTATTCTGAAATGCTGTCACTCAAACTAGGAGTAGCTCGGAAGCATTAAAGCCAAGATGCCCGCACAGGCTAGACTTCGGCTTTAGGATTGGCATGTTCAGGTTCGTGTACAAGGTTTACAGGTTTCGGTTTAGGGTTTAGGTTCAGGGTTTAGAGCCTACGGTGTAGATCCAGACCTCATGTGCCGAGGAACGCCAGTTCGCCAAAGGGATGTCACATATCCGCTCAAGCTCCGATTGGGAGAAGGTCCTCAGGAGCACTGAACCCTGGCAGGCATAATCCTGGTAGTGCCGGTGGTAGCGGTGGAATGAAGCAGAAGTATACAGTATAAACACGGAAGCAGAAGCTGCCGCTATATATTATGGCAACGACTCGGGGATCACTGCGGCCCAAGGTTCTTGATCTGAGACTCCATCAAAAATCCTGCCAGGGGAGACTGCCCTTCCAACTGCCGACATATGCTTTTTGTGCATGAGGGTTCAGGCATTTGAAGAAGCTTCAGTAGTTCTATGCAGGGTTTTATGGTTCAGGGCTCGTGCGGGGTTTGAGGTTCGGTGATTCGGGGCTTCATTGGTTCGTGCTCGGGGTAGCAAAAGCAGCGACAGGATGACGCCAGCCAATTCACTAACAGTTCTGTTTAGGGTTTAGGGTTTAAGCCAGAGAGACCGGCAAAACAAGGCACGCAGGCTGCAGATATTGAGCAATGCATGCAAGGCCATAAAGCAAAATCTGTGATATGGGCATAATGACTGCACGTGATCGGAGGATTTATGATGGCGATTGTTTCCGTAGCCGATGCGCCGTTTGCTGCCATGGAAACTACCAGTTTTGAATAACAGGCAAATGATCTTGCTTTGGTACTACTGCTGCCTCTTTGCTTGAGGATCTTGAAGCCACCAAACCCCCAAAGCCCGAACCCATCAGTAACAACTCCATCCCCGCACTGGAAGCTTCAGGTATGGAAACACATGTACCGTATCTCAATGCACCCGTTTTTGAAAGAAGCTCGTGCATGAAAACATGACAGCGCGAATCTAAACACCGAAGCACCACCACCACACACCAAAGCCGCCACCCCGAGCCTCAAACGGAATCAACACCAAACCGCCAACCACCTTTAAACCCTAAACCCAAAATCCGAAACCGCCCTAGACCCTCAACCCTAAACCACCCTAAGCCCTAAACCTGAACCCATCGGGAAGCCCACCCACCCAACCTGGCAGTCCACGAACAGTTACCGCATCGGACTCGTAGACCTGTCTTCCACACATCCATGCGGAGTTGGGGCTTATTTCAGGCTTAGGGTTTACGGGGTTCAGGGTTTAAGGTTTAGGGCTTCGGGGTTTCTGGATGTTACTAGTAGGACCAGTAGGAGTCATGCTATCCTGCCTACTTTCACTCGAGCTTGTGGCTGGGTTCATTGCCTACTACTTAAAGGAGCATGGGAGTTAGCAAGTAAGGTTAGAAGTACCCTAATTGGGGATATAAGTAATTATAAGTATAGTTACCTTATTTATAACCCTAGTTAAGAAGCCCCATGATCCTTTAAGTATCCTACAGCCATGGGGCTTAGGGCTCGGGTCTCGGGTGCAGACTTCACGGCTTGGGGCTGTGCATAGAGTCACTGCTCGAAGATCGTGGGCCAAAGATGCCAGTGCTACGAACCACGCACGCCCATGCGAGACCTTAACCCCGAAGCATGGGACCAATCCTGCAGCCGCGAAGCCATCAATGAATGATAGAATTCGCGAACTTTAGACGCCGAATCTTGGAGCCATGCCCCACTCTTAAGCGGTACCAGACCTACCTGACCCTAGGCCCTGAATTCAAACCTGAAGCCCGACCCAGATTTCTGTGAAGCATCTCTTCGGGAGACAGGCTGTCAAGAAGCGTCCGGGCCCTATTGGGGAAACCATATTACTTACTACAGACCCCTATTATGGTAACTTTTTAAATTAAATCCCAATAACAAGAACGCAGGTGTCAGGTTTAGAGCTTCAATGTCCCCGTGCTGGAAAGGCCCAAGCCTCCGTCTGTGTGTACATGTGATGCTCGAAGTTACTGTACCTTGAGGTCTTGGGTTGAGGCAAGTGGAGTTCAGGCAGTTTCTTTCAGGGGCAAGTTAGGGTTCCAGTTTTGCGGTGTTTCGCACGGGATTTTCTTGCCACGTGAACAGATTCCACAAACGGAAAACCCCCAAAGCCTAAAGACTGGCAATATGGACACCAACTGGAAAAAGCGCTGCCACTATGGAGATGAGTGCACTACAACATGCTTGAAGATCTCCTCCATGCTTACGATACGCGCGTTTGGGTAGTTGCGTCTACATATGAGTTCATCTACGGGTTTCTCTCTTATACTGAATGATAAAGTCTTGGTATAGGGTTTCTGGGCTTTCAATGCATGTGCAAAGCCACATCCGGAATCTTTCCTGGACTTCATACAAAGCCGACCGTCGCTGTTTTGTTCCAGTTGCCTAGGCGGGACCTCTCGAAACCCTAAACGCAAAAGCCCCAACCCTAAACCCTTCACCCTAAAGCCTCCACCCTGAACTGGCAGCACTCCGAGCTGAGTTTAGGCTCCCTCTCGCCTCCCCGTGTTTGCAGCCGGCCCCGTCTCTCTCGAAAGGACCTGCCATAGTTGATCAATGCCTGCTTCCGAAGTTTCCCAGCAAAAACTAAACCCTGAAGCCGTATAACATATGTATAACCCCCTCGCGCAACCTGTCACAAAGCTTGTCCCCTCCAAGATGCAACTTCCGGATGTCCACCACGGCCCTTCGAACGAACTGCAGGTACAGGCACTGCCTGAAAGTGGGAGATGGTATTCCGGGAATGACTGAAGGACCCAAACGCGATATATCCTGAAGCCCTGCAGCTTTGAACCCTTGAGTTAAGGGTAGGTTAGGGTTCACGATGGGCTCAGCTCCACCTCAAAACCACCTTGGATTCTCGACTAACCCTGGACTCTGGACTGTAAGCCCAGCGCTCTCTCTTTGATGACTGTCACTCTTGTGGCGGTCTTTGAGGTGCATGGTACGTTTCTGGCTCCTTCGGAACTCTTTAGTCTCAGCCATGAGAACATGGAGCCCAAATATGCACCACTAGCAAGGACGGGAACCCTGGACGCGTACATGAAAACGGCTGTAGGGTTGCTTCAGGTTTCCGAATCGTAGGATTGGGTGATATTCAAGGTTCAACTAGGTTTAAGGCTTTCGGCTTCTGCACGCATCCACGGAGTACCCACGGCCCCGAATACATGTTTAAGTCAGTTTACCTTCTCTGACTTGCAAGGTCCGGGCAGTCGGAAAGAGAGAGAACGAGAGAGAGGGAGAGAGATACATAGGAGTTTCCTAAAACTAGGGGTACCTTATTTTGGGGTCCATATAATAAGGATCCTAGTATTTAGGGCACTATATTAGGGTCCCTTATTTTCGGAAACTCTCATATCGAGACAGAGAGAATTCGACAGAGGGAACGCCAGGAGTGCGCAGGGGGCACGGTGGGAAAACCCATTGCCGCACTGTGTGCTGCCAAAAGGCAGCAGGAATATCTGGATGCCGATGCAGAAAACCACCTGACAAAGAGAGAATTGCAACGGGAATAAAACCCAAATCCCAAACCGCCGTCCCAAACCATCGCAGCGGGTTTCTTGACTTCTCAAAGGTCTGGAATGAAGGACTTAGGGTTTTGGGTCTGAGGGTTTGGGGTGTATAAAGAGCCGATGATCTTCCCGCAAGGTTTGGCCTCGGGTTTCCGTCGAATTGAGGGTCGTGGATTATGGCTACTTCCGCCTAAAACTTTAACCTGGACCCCACATGCGAGAACCCAGAGATCTGCTTAAATCTAAAGTTCGGCATTCCAGACTCAAGAGGCTGAGTCCTCAAACCTACAACTGAATTTGGGGGCCTTAATAATTGGAACAGGGTTTTGGTGCCCAATGGATAACAATAATAATGAGGAACCCCCCAAAATAGTATTGGTAATTATTTAGGCCCCTATATCATCCCCGAACCCCAAACTCATAGCCCAGTCCAAACCGTATCGTCCCTACATGACTATACTCTGCATGTGCATATTTACAAACACGGCAAAATATAACCACATGATAATGCTATGAGATACTACAACATGCCACAAAACCATGCTCTATAGCTACTAGTGATGACTAGCGACTAAAGCCCCGAACTGCAACTAAACCACAGCATACCCCAACCGGATTATTCACTAAAGCCACAAACCCTCAACCGTGAACCCTATGCTAAGTACTGCATAAATCCCCCCAGCCCTATCCTTGTGGACTCTTTAGCTAAAGTACAAACAATACTTTCAATTCTCCCGCCCAGTTTCATTAAGACTAAAGCCAAAAAAGCATTCCTAAGAGCCCTGAATGAAAGTACAACCCTAAACCCTGAACCCCTAAACCCTAAACCCCTAAAGCCCTAAACCCCTAAAGCCCTAAACCTAAAGCCCTAAACCCCAAAACCCTAAAGCCCTAAATCCCAAAACCCTTAACCCCCAAACCCTAAAGCCCTAAAGCCCTAAACCCTAAAGCCCTAAACCCTAAAACCCCAAACCCTAAAGCCCTAAACCCCTAAAGCCCTAAACCGTAAACCCCTAAACCCCTAAACCCTAAAGCCCTGAACCCTAAACCCCTAAACCCTAAAGCCCTAAACCCCTCTAAACTATAAACCCTAAAGCCCTAAACCCTAAAGCCCCAAAGCCCTAAACCCTAAAGCCCTAAAGTGCAAGCCGGGGACGAGGAGAGCGGAGCTTCCGCAGCGCAACATGCGACTTGTGGGGCCCAAGGTGCCGGTCTTCAACCGGACGGTGTCCTGCTTTCTGCTTAAGGGTTCTTATGGTTTGGGGTTTAGGGTTTAGGGTTTATGGTTTAGGGGTTTAAGGTTCAGGGTTTATGGTTTAAGGGTTTAAAGGAAGTTTAAGGGTTTCTTTTTTAAGTGTAGTGGCAGTTTAAGGGTTTAGGATTTAGGGTTTATGGTTTAGGGGTTTACGGGTTTATGGTTTAGGGGTTTGGGGCTTAGGGGTTTTATGGTTTAGGGTTTAGGGTTTACAAGGAGTGCCGTAGTAGTACAAGTAGTACGCTAATGGTACAATAGGTTTTAGGGTTTAGGGTTGAGGGGTTTACGGTTTACAACGGGTGGGGGCTTAGGACTGAGGGGTTAGAGTGTCCTCGTGTTCCTGCTCCTATGTTCTTTCAAGGCGCTTTGGGTTCAGCTCTTGGGGATTCGGCGTCTCTAAAGGGCTTAGGGCTCAGGGTTTATGACTGAAGGATTTGGGCTTCCAGCTTGATAGGCTTCAGGGCCTGGGGGGTGATTGGGCTTTAGGGTTTAATATAAGGTTTGTATAGGGTTCATGGGGATGTTTGTATCCACCCGAACCCCAAAACACTTATCTTCTCGAGTCAAAGGACCCATTACCACCCGGACATAGAATCTCAAACCTTCGGGCTCCTTCCATCAATTTAGGCTGGGTGTGGGGCTTACGGTTTAGGGCAGTTTAGGGCTTAGGCCTGGGGTTTTGCAAAAATTAAGCACGTAGCGAGGCTTCGGGTCGACAGCTCCAAGGTTCTTTAGTCACTAGCCACTGAGGGTTTCGGAAGAAACGGCGACCGAGCCTGAAGGCCTGACTTCTACGGTGCAGCACTGTGATAAAAGCGTTTTGCCTGGTCCAACCGATCCCCAAGCCTAAAACGGTACTAGCCTACCACAGTGTGGTAGGAACGTTTTGCCTTGTCCAACCCCAAGCTGGTGGTAGGAGCGTTTTGCCTTGTGAAACCCAGCCCCAAGCCTAAAAACCAGCCAGCCTAGAACAAACTACCCGTGTTAACCCGCAAATAAGAAATCCTCTTCGAGAGGCACTACCTAACAAAAAAATTCCGAAATGCCCGATTAAGGAATTTCCAGACCCTGGCTTCAGAAGAACGATTTCTCATGAAAAGCCTCCACCGTAATTACTTTCCGAGATCGTTCGCCCTAAACTGCCCCTAAAACCTAAACTTTCCAAAAGCTTCTATATTTCTGGCCTTGCTTTCAATACGAGGCTGCCCGCCCTGACCCTTGACCAGAGGAGCAAGAAACCCTGAAGCCCATTCCCTGAACCCTGAACCGCTGATAGTGCCCCAACAATACCCCGAAACCAAAAGCCCCACACCCTGGAACCGTGAACGCTCACTTAAAGGATCATGGGACTTAGTAACTACGGTTAAACATAAGGCAACTATACTTCTGATTACTTATAACCTCCTACTAGGGCACTCATAACCTCACTTACTAAGTCGCCTGATCCTCCAAGTAGACCGTAAACCCTAAACCCTATAGATCCCTTTGCGGAACCCTATAGATCCCTTGAAGGAGCCGGAACCCTACAGATCCCTTTAAGGAGCCCTCTAAGAGCCGAGGCTCATGAACCACACTCGCGGCCAACAGGCTGTAGATGTTTTCCTGCCTCAGCTGGGGCTCCACTGCGAGCTTCCCCTTGAACAAGCATGCTTGTGCTCCTCAGGAAGAGCATACTATACTGAAATCAAATCCGGCTTAGAATACAGAAACTTAGACATGACATTCAAGCCACCCAAAACACTATACATGAAACCGTAAACTCGTTCCCCCCAGCCCTGAACCCTAGAAACAAGTGTTTCAAGATGCGGCCTAGCTGCAAAGCGCTGGGCTTGCCGGCGAGTTGCGCAAAGCACTCGGGCCTTGGAGAACGAAGCTGGGGATCTGTAGCGTTTGAGGGGACTTTAGGATTAGGGTTGGGGTTTAGGGCAAGGGTAGGGTTTAAGGCTTGTTTGGGGTGTGAGGGGCCTCTAGGACTCTTGGATTAGGGTTCAGGGTGCAGAGTTTAATGCCTATTTGGGGTTTTGTTATGTGAGGTTGGGTGTAGGGTTTGGGGGTTTAGGGCTTTTGGCGAAGATTTTGGTTTTGTGAGGTCTTTTGCTGGGGCATGCGATTTTGAAGCGGCAGAAAGGATTTCTGGAGCTCTGAAAAAAATCTACATCCTGAACTCCTTGTAGGATACCCTTTGCTACTGTGATGTACTCCTTCCAAATTGATCCAGAGAAGGTTCCTAATCGGTAGAGAGAGCACCCACAAAAGGTGGCGTTCTTTTACGCGGGCGTGGTTGGAACTAAACCCTTACCCCCTAAACCCTGAACCCTAAACCGTTTAAGAGCCATCGGAGATCGACTGCGACGTCCGCGAAATGCCGAGCGGCTCGATGGCTTCGTGCACAACCGGCTCCTGCATGGCATTCGAACCGAAACCCACGAACCTGAACCAGGGCAGCCCACAAATCCCTAACCCTCCGAAGAATCCGAGACCTTAGGGACCTTTAATCTCTCTCTCTCTGAAGCACTGATATAGGGGCCTTAATAGTTAGAATAGTGTTTTGGGGCCCATTATACCATACTTCTATCAAGGAACCACCAAAATAGTATTTGTAATTGTTAAGGCCCCTATAGCCCTAAGCCCATCCTATGGGAGACGGATCAGAATTGGGTTTACGGCACATGACAACCGGAAACCGTCACCTTCGAAGGATGGAACTTGGGTTTACTCGGAGCCTAGAGACGCTTGATGGCGTAGAATAGCGTGCTTACTTTAAGGGTTGCTATGATAAGAAGCAGCATATATGAACCTGAGAGTAAGACTACATGTAAGACCAAGAACAATAAGAAGCCTACTGATGCGGCGAATGACCATAGCAATCAGCACAAAATCACAAGATTAATAATTCGAAGAAGGGGTTACTTTTGGTGCTACTACGAAGGTTTCAAGAAAGATTCAATGTTTGACGGATTGGAGGTCAAAGGTTGCACCGATTTTCAACACTTCGGCGTTGCAAGCTCTGGAGTTCAGGGTTTGGGGTTTGAGGTTTGGGGGCCGTAGGGCTTCAAGGTTTGCGACTTCCTTGGCTCTAGAGTTTCATTTGCCGGCTGCCCGATACATTCATGACTAAGCCTTGTAATAGCCCACACTGAACTCAACACGCTAAAGTAGGAAACCTAACCTCTGAACCATCTGTCCTGATCCTGCTTAAGTGCTCATGTAAGGATAGATTCATAGATAAATGGCACCTGCAACTTTCAATAAGATAATTTGGGTGGAGATAGCCCTTTGCCTTGCTTTATGGGACGTTTAGAAGAGAACCATAGGGCTCAACCCCCAAGAACTCGATCTTTTAACAAGCTCCTCCTCGTCCTCTTGCCCTGTCGAAGTGTCCCAGAGACTGGCAGAAGCTTTCTTAGGGAAAACCATTGTAGCAGAGTACACGAGGTTTTTCAAGGGTTTCTGTGGATTCTGTGGCTTTCCCGCTTTTTCCAAGGATCACAAACAATTTCAGCTACCACAATAAGCATGGCTATTGTCACATTTACCAGATATCCCTTCTTGAAGGACCCCTGAGCCAGAGCCCAATATTGGACAGGATTTCCGAGTACGGTCTCGGTTCAGTTTTTCTAGAGGGGTGCAATTTGCATAAGGTAGGGTATGTTTTGGTATACTGTTATAAGATGATTTTCAAGGAACTCGCGAAGAGGCATGGAGGCTTCGATACGGCCGTGCCCTTCGGGTTTGAGTTTCTTCAAGATTTCCCTGGTGTAGCCGTTGGTCGAGACGCTATCGTGTCCACTTGCATGATCCTGCTTCAAGCCTATTGCCTGTATCCGGGCGTGCAACCTACGCCTACACCCTGTGGCCTTCTAGAAAAAGCACCTAACTTATTGAGTGAATGGTGTCACTCTGAAGTCTAAAGTAGCCAAGGTTGGCAACAGTTTTTGGAGCTTGGAGCATGCAGCTTGTGCAGTAACTTTGAGGCTAAGTCCTCTTGAAAGCCGGATTCCTGAAACCAGAAAGACCTTGTAGGCTATGTACCCGAGACAACAGCCCGTGCAAAGGCCTGCACATGACGATGATACTCTCACCTTGCACCTTCGACTTCAATATCGTAAGGTCGTAACCTTCTTGGTGGAAACTTCTGAATCCGGATCCCGAAGCCCCGAACTATAAGCTGAGCTGCACCACTATAACTTTTGACTTTGGTGCGTGACGGCTCTGGGTCTCAGGACTGTCATGCCTGCTTCGTGAGTTTAAAACTTACAACCCGGAGATCGAAGCACTTGGGCAGGAATCCTAAGGACAAAAACCCTAGGATGCACCGCAGGGCTTGGGGGTTTGGGGCTCATGGATCAGTTGTTAGGGTCTTTCGGTCGAGGGTTGAGGGAGGCCTTAGCGCTTTTCTGTCGATTCTATACCAGCAGGGCCTTAATAATTTGAATAGGGCTTTGGTTCATATTCTGCTAGACTTGTAATCAGGAACCACCAAAATTTTATATCGGTAATTATTCGGACCCTACATTAGGCTTTAGGGTCTACGCTTGCTCGTGGCAAGTGGCCTCCTGTAGGCAGAGTTGCGCGACGAACCTGTGCAAGTTGATGCCATGATTTTAGCGGCTTACACTTGCACACCCTTAGCCCGAAGCCCTGAACCCGAACCCCTCGCCCTCACAGCTCCTCATCCCGCAACTCTGACATTATTAGGGTTTTCACTCTGTCTACCCAGCCACCACCTCCTTTTAATTTAGGGTGGACACAGCACAGCAGGAAGACGCACGGATCCCCCCAGTGGCAAAGCCTGAACCTGCCCTTTGAGCCTGCTGTTTCTTGGGCTGCCGGGCTAAGGGTTAGAGTTTAGAGTTCAGGGTTCAGGGTTTCGCGTTTAGGGTTTCGGGTTTATGGTTTAGGGTTTCGGGTTTAGGGTCTAGGGTTTCGGGTTTAGGGAGGGTTTGGGATGCAGAGGCTTCTAAGGCCTATAGGGGTTTATCTTCCGTACGGTCTGTTTTGTCTAGGTCTAGGCGCTTCAGAGCCTTTGGTGCCCGAGGCTCAGATCCTCCACCGGGTTTCTGCTTTGCAGAAGACTGTCTTCGAATCTGTAGCATAGGGTTTTGGGGGTGCCTTATCATAACTATAGTATACTATATCCCCAAACCCAGTCTGCAGTTTTTTTGCTAGCAACGGGATCCAGCAAACAAGCCGGAGAACGAAAGAAATGATTCAGTGGGTCTGGGTGCCTATATACCCTCGCGCTGAAGCCTGGAAGCGATTGAATCATATGGGAGTTTCCGAAATTAAGGGGGAGTAGCTTATTTTGGGGTCCTTGTATGAAAAGGATCCTACTGTTCCGGAAACCCCGATATGCGGGCTACACAATCCGAGGCGAATCTGATCTGGTGAACCGAGAGTCTCCTCAGGGACCCCTCACCTGTCGACCAGCTTGATGCCAGCATCTTTGCAGCAAGACTACGACGAGGACGGCGACAAGAACGACCACGACGACTACGGCGACCACGAACCGGTGCTGATGATAGCGATGGTCATTGCGAAAGTGGTTGTGAGGAGGAAGCTTGATGCTGGTGGAGGTGATGAACACGAAGGCTCCGAGTGCAACTGTGGCTTGCTCCGGTGGTGGAGTGGCCATCGCACACAAACACACTACTAAGACTCAAAACACAAGCTCCAGAATTCCAAGCAGAATGCCGCTCGCAGACACCACGCCAACGAAGCAATGAGACAACTCCCGACCTCGAAAGGTGTACGCCCAAGGAACCCTGAACCCTAAACTGGCCAAACCCGAAACCTTCAAAACAATGAACACTAAACCGCTTCTGAACAAGAATCCCTGAGCTGAATCATGTAGCCCCCAGCCCTGCTAGCCGGCCTACTGACGCCACCGATCCATTCCGTCCCCTGGGGGGCCGATTCAGCTTTTCTGCGGGTTTAGGGTCAGGCGTTTGGGGCTTCTGGGTTTCTTTGGGGCATGGGATTCAGAGGTTCAGGGCTGTGGCAAAAGGTCAGCACTGACAAAGCACACTCCAGGCAGAGCAGAAGTATCATCGCCTCAACCCCGAAGATGCGCAGCACTGACAGTTCTAGGTTGCTTCATGCTTCAGGGCTCAGGGCCCAGGGTTGCCAACGAAACTCACCGTACATCGAGGTCGGCGCAAGGCAGCAAGAGGTCCAGGGGTCAAACCCCCTGAAGGAGCCCCAAAGCCGCCACAGCAACCTCAGGCTGTCGACACAAACCCCCTAAACCCTAAACCCCCAGGTGAAGCCCCAAGAGCAACCGAAAAGACACCCTCAGACCTTCGCCAGCCCAAGCACCTCGAAAGGGCTTGGGGAGAACAACCCCAGACGGTTCAAGAACGCCCTGCGATCCTGAACCCTAAAGCCCAGAGGCAGTTTTCAGCCATCACTCCCCAATCGACCACAACAGAGCTAAATCTAGATGCCCGAGTTCTGATGAGACTAGTCCCTGACGATCCCTGGACGTAATGAGAATCCTTCATACCAGTAAGGACAAATCTAAGTAACACAGGGGCCTCAATAATTACCAACAGTATTTTGGGGGTTCGTTCTACTGGTTACAGTATAATACGTCCCCAAACCCTAATGAAATTTTTCAGGCCCCTATATTATTGTGATGGCCCATATACCCGAGCTGGCCTAGGTGTGGGTTTCGACTCCCGTGCGCTCCGCATCGGTGGTAAGTCGCCCTTGGAAAGAAAGGCCATCCTGGGATCTGTGGGATTTCGGAGTTTCCGAAAATTAGGGGTACCTTTAAAGGGATCTTTTAGGAATCCTTTTAGGGTTCCTATATAAGGGGATCTATAGGGTTTGGGGTCTAGGGTTTGGGAGTTTCCGAAAATCACGGGTACCATTTTTTGGAGTCCGTATAATGAGGATCCTACTATTCAGGGTATACCAGCCTGGAGCCTGAGGGCCGTTGGCCTCATGTTCTGCAGCCAGGCATTAAGCTTGTCCGTCGAATCTCTAGACGCATCTGAACTGGTACCCTAAATCCTTCACCCTAAATCCTAAGCCCTAAATCCTAAACCCTAAATCCTAAACCCTAAATCCTAAACCCTAAATATGGTTTACGGCTACGACTCTAAGTTCTAATAGCTGCAGGTCTCGAGCTTTGGGGGTCCCGGGCTGTCAAGGCCTTCATTGACCCAAAAGCGCTGCGGATACCTAGGGCTCCGACTTGGGCTCTACTTGGAGGATCAGGGGACTTGGTAAGTAAGGTCACAAGTGCCCTAATTGAGGTTAGAAGTGATAACAAGTATACCTGCCTGATTTATATCCCATGACCCGTTAATGTACAGTAAACCCCATAGAGTTGGAAACCGGATTAAGGCCAAATAGTGCTGGGATTCCCTCTACATTACTCTTAAGGATTGAGGCTATGAGGTTTCCAACTTTTGGCCTTCTACTGAAGTGGTATTTTCTATAGATCGAGGGTCTATGTGTCAGACCACCGGTTGCATGCCCCGGGCTTTGGCGGTCTAAGTCTCTCGGATCTGTGCGATTCACCCGAAACTCCTAAACCCTTAAACGCCAAAGAAAACCTCTACATGAGTTATAACTATAGTTCGGTACAATATAACATCATAAGATAATGCCACGTAATATCAATCCAAATCTAAGGCAATTCGCATAAAACACCGAAGACAGCATCGCTACCTGGCAAGCTTGGGGCTTCTAGTCTCCAAAGGGATGCCAGGCTTCAGGCTCGGAGGTTCTGGCGTAGGGGTTGATGGACAGAATCCTGCATTACCCTTCTTTATAAGGAATATACCATAGTTCCCATAGTTTAGAGACCTTAGGGTCATGCAGGATTTTGTCCATCAGCAGTAGGGGTTGCAGGGGTTAGCAGGCGATCGACCTGTGAAAGGGCTTCTTGCAATAACGGACGCTTGCGGCATGTTTTTTTTTATATGTTCTGGGATGTCGAAGTTGGGCTTCGCGTGCTTGGGAAAATCCGAAATCACAGAAGCCCTCCCCCACTAAGCCGCTTGCTTTCATCAGCTGGCGTCCAGCTTGCGTGGCTGCTCTGGATCTTTTGTTCAACAGATGTGGTGTATGTAGTGCGTGTGTATCCGGTCCGTCTGATAGTCTGTTGGACGTAGCTTGCTTTTGTGCTGGGGTTGATAGCTTCTCGCAAGGACTTTTTGTTGCCACAGCTTGGTCCTGGTGTGAGGGTGGATGACAGCTCCCGGTCTTGAGAGTCTTTCATCGGCTACTTTGGAAGGTATGCTTCTGAACAGTTGTGGGGTAGTCGCAATTCTAGAGGGCAGTTGGTGCTAAACCCTGAGCGTGCGTCAGCCTCACGTCGCGATTGCTGCGGCTAAACACTGCGTAGCTGAGCCGAGACGGACGGTGGCCAAGCTTGCCTTGTGGTAGAGAAATCGAGCGAATTTGGAAGGCTAGGGACTTTGCATCAAGATGTCATAGATTGACACGGCTTCGAGTGGCTTTGAAGCTTAGAGTCTGTGGCTGTGCGGTTCGAGCACTGAAGGGCTTCTTGTTCCCAGCCTTTGGGCTCCGGATTTCGGCTCGAAGTGTAGGGCACTGGTTTAGAAGGGATCCTTAGAGCGATCTATGGGGGGTGGGGCTCATGGGGTTTAGGGTTTGAGGGTTTGAGGGTGTGGGGTTACCCTACTTGAAGGCTCATGGGACTTAGTAAGTAAGGTTATAAGTAGGTTATAATTAGGATAACCCCACTTAGGGGACTTATAGCCCCAGTTATAACCTACTTACTAAGTCCCATGATCCTCTAAGTACCATGGGAAGGTCAAGATCCGAGCGAGAACAAAACCATCCCGGAGCCTCGCATTGGGCTGTAGGGTAGCACTTCGTAACCTGATGTAGGGACCTTGATAACTAGAATAGGGTTTGGGGCTCCTTTGTAGTACACTTATAATAAGGAAGCCTAAGCAATTGTATTGGTAATTTTTCAAGCTTCTACATGAGTAGCATTATAATTAGGAGCCCTAAGGATGGTGTTGGCAATTGTTTGAAGCCTTTACGTCGAACAGTCAGCCTCCAAAACCAACCACGCCAAGAAAGGCTGGGAAATGCAGTGGAGGGGTTGGTACCGACGAAACACACAATCCCTGAGCCAGACAAAGTCAGATTGAATCGGGACTCCAAAGACGATAAGACTTAGGATCTATTCTCTCTAGGACAGGAAGGCCGTCGAGAAGAACCCCCCCACCACAAACCCTAAGCCCTTTCCAACCAAAGCATACTTCAGGATAAAGGGTCTTGCCATGATTCAACATATTCAGTACCCCAACGCCTGTTAAACCTGTTCAGGCAAACACCATCCGAAGGGGGGGGGCTGGACCTTCAATTCCGATGATGGCCAGGGCCAGTTGTTCGAATTGAAGGGTTCTAGAGCTTTGGGCATGTAGATCCTTCGGGCGCTCTCGGGTTGCAGCCTTCGGATACTCGGCTGCTCGTGATGCTGCTGCTCATGATGACGATGATAACGATCACGCTGATGCTGATCACGATAGTGCTGATGCTGATGATGGCAATGTGGCGACTTCTATCGTGCATCTGCGACACGCATCAAGTAATGCAGCTGCAGCGGACAAGCCTGAAGGCTTGCCACATCCACAAGCCTTCACTATTTAATCTTCAAACCGCCAGGAGCATATCTGACATAATTGCAGGACTTGCAGTGAAGACAACACTCAGTAACGCAACACTTGGGACACAAACATACTAGACCTTGGTTAAGGTGCGAATGCTTAGATGCACGGAAAAACCCAACCTGCCAACCCTAATTTGTGAACCTCCAAACCTTCAAGAACGAAGCACTCCAGAATCCTGGACTTGAGTCATGATCCGAATCTGGGATGCCTCCGTGCCAGCAGTGCCTCCGTTGCCATCACCCCAGGATTCGTGGACTCGTGTGGCCTTTCAACCCGTGCACTATTTGGTCTACGCGCTCAATGCTGCAGCTGCTGCCATTACTACTACTACTGTACTACTACTACTACTGTACTACTACTACTACTACTACTACTACTACTACTACTACTACTACTACTACTACTACTACTACTACTACTACTACTCTGCTACTACTACTACTACTACTACTACTACTACTACTACTACTACTACTACTACTACTACTACTACTACTACTCCTACTGCTACTGCTACTGCTACTGCTACTGCTACTGCTACTGCTACTGCTACTGCTACTGCTACTGCTACTGCTGCTGCTACTGCTACTGCTACTGCTACTGCTACTGCTACTGCTACTGCTACTGCTACTGCTACTACGACGACGACTGGCACTACCGCTGCAGAATCTACCACAACTCTGCCAGTACCACCGGTACTAGCACCACTACTGCCGCAAAGCTACTACCACGACAACGACGACGACGACGAGGGCTGCCACTATGACGTCGCCGACGAAGACTACTTGCATGAGAATCAGCATAATCAATAAATGCCACTTCAGTCATACTAATACCTGTGAAGTGAGTAGTGATATCGAAGCCAAAAACGGCACTACCCCTTCTCATCAACATCAATGTAACACGCAGACGCCCAGATCGTTTGTCCTTCATGGGTAGAAGCCCTCAACCGTTAACCCCCGCATGCCCAAAACCCAGGTGGCGAAACCTCTAGCAGCGCTTTTACGGCATGAAACCCGGAGAAGTCCAGGGGCTGGAGGCTTCATTGCGTCGAGCTTTACTCCATGGCTGAGGGTTCGCGGAGGGGTCTGGGGCTAAGCAGCGTCAAAAGCAGCGTCAAATTCAAGTTGTACACGTTCAGGGTTTAGGGGTCATCACTGCTATCGTGTTAGGTGTGTCGGGGTTCTGGATTCAGGCTGGAATCTCGCGGCCATGCCCAGCGAGTGAAGCCTCAATTCTCCAACT